ATCTAATAACCCATAATCGTCGTGGATATTATCGTGATGGCGGTACGATATTACGTCTTTGTGCCAAAAATGCTTTCAGTTATACAATTTTATCTTTTGTACAGTCTTTTTTTGTGTTTTGTATTATTTGTGTTGACCATTTCCATTCGTCTTCATTACTTTTGTCATGACTGACACACTAAGCAGGAAATAAAAAAAAACACATACTGTATATCTTTGTTAAACTGCGCGATTTCATAAAGTCACTTCAATCGAAATGTCCTCAATTTATCATTGTCAACACAGACTGTGTACCAAAATTTGTTTCATGACTCTGAAAGAGATCACGCTGGTTTTCAAGGGTTTGACTGACACTATTTTGCCAATAATAAAAAGCTGAACTGGCTTCTGCCTCTCTTTCAAAAATAAGCCGTGGTCGCTTTGGAAATGATCGTTTTGCTCGCTGTTGCACCCGTAATTGTGGTACGGTGTGGCGTCTCAGTGAGATCGAAAAAGCTCGCTGTAATTTTAAGTTTTAGATGTTTTTTTTTATATTTGTTTCTTCTTCTTCTTCTTCTTGCTTATTATTTGTGTCTACCATTCTATTCGTCGTCATTATATTTATCATGACTGACACTTTATATATACACCATACTTTTTTGTTTAACTGCGGGGTTTCGTAGTATTTGTTTTTTTTTTCAGTTTAAATTTCCTCAATTTATATCCTTGTCAACAAGAATACATGAGGGTTTGAAGCATATTAGAGTTGTTTGACAAAGTGGTTTCATATATACACTAAAATAGATCACGTTAGGTTTCAAGGGTATGACTGACACAGGCCAATGATATAAAAGCTGAAATATCTGCCGTTCCTTGTCAGAAGATCGGTCGACGTCTAATCTATACACTTTCTTGCACATGAAGAAGAATTGCGCTTCGGGTACAAAGATGGCATCCAGCCGCATCCTGGTGATTCTGTTGTTGACTATTTTCTCTGGTAAGTGAAGAGTGAAAGTACCGCTTTAAGTTTGTGCTGTCCTTGCTATTTCTAAATGTTACCCGCATTAAGAACGTTATTCCCTTTTGAATGAGACATCGAACAATAAACCCGGCCCATGGTGAGGTATGACATAAAATGCATAATTATTTTACAAATTCTGAATTATTTGGGGTGCGGCAGGCAGGGTTTGCTGTAGCCCAAAAATGTTTGACTCGCCAGCCGGTCTACTTAAGGAATAGTTTGACTAGCATTTGGCTAGCGGGCTACCGCTAAAGTCGAGCCCTGCAGGGTAGACTCCCCCCCCCCCCAACTCCTTACCAATCGGAGTTTATACCTACAGGGCCCGGAACTATATAGTCTGTTCGCTGTGTGGATCTGATATTGCCGGAGCAGTATCTACCACACCACACAACTCTGACGTCATTATGTCGTCATCAAGTGCCAAATTACAGGCGATTGTCGTTCAAAAAAAGACCATGTTTCACTTCAAGAGAAATGCATTGTACAGGGTGAGTAAAAAAAAAAGCTTTGTTGAATATTGTTAACTTTTAAACTGAGGCTTTATCACTGGTGATGTTTGAAGACAATTTTGTGACAACGATTTCAGTAATTTGTTCATCTAAAAGTAGCTTATGAAATTGGCTTTCCAGTCATTGTTACTGGGGTGATACATATTTTTTTTAAATATGAAATATTATTTTTAATATTACTCACCCTGTATGTATCCTCGCTGAACTAATGAATATTGTGTTTGCACATTTAACTGATGACGTCATCAAACGGAAATTACGAGTATGTGCTAATACAATTTATACTACAATTCATGAAACGCAAAAGGACACATTTTTTTGTCATATTAAAACAAATGGTTCCACTGAAAGCTGAAAAGTTATTGATTTTTTTTCTTTCTGAAATTAAAATATTTATAACTTATCTGGACGTACTTTCAATGAAAGAGTTGCCCGCCCGATCACCCCGTGTTTGCCATTCAACAAACGCGAATCTCTAGTTTTTCAAACAAAACAACAAAAATAAGAAATTAATCAAGAAAAAAACATCGTAATTTGTGTGAAGAGAAGGGATAGAAGTGTCACGATGCGCATGTCATCAGGCTACAGTACACCAGCGTTATTGTCCATACCCTATGCCCAACTTCCTACTCTGAGTTTTTTGTCTTTATATATAAAACCAAAAATCGTAATTGCACAACTTCTCGTCAACGCAGGTAAAAAAAATGATCAACATTGGTGGTAAAATCTTCCCGAATCAGTCCAACGTTTTCTCAAATAAACCCTTATCTGAAGAAAATTCTTAACGACTTTGTGAAAAAGTATTGGCCGGTTGTCCCCTTCAAGTTAATCGCTAACAAAGTCAATGTTTCAATTCAAATCCATCTCGATCGGATCTCGGAAGCTGCGGGCCAACGAATTCGTGTTCATACCGGTTGTTGGTTGGCATAATTGGATGACTGTTAACATGTCTCTTGGCATTTGACCTTACTTTGACCTTTGACCTTATAGCTGAAGGTCATACAAAGAGGTCACGATGATATTGTTTTAATGTTTGACCTAGGCCAACATAATCAGCGACACCACGAAGTAACACCCAAGTGGACTTGAGTGCGCGCTACGCGCGCGAATTTAACAGAACCGAGTGATTTTCGTTTTCAAGAAGTCATGTACACCATGCGCTGACTCGGTCATTTTCGTTTTCACGAAGTAACACTCATCTTTAGTTCACCAATTTGAAGGCTTTTTATTAAAATATTCTGTAATCCTACAAGAATACGGATTAATTACATTTCTGTCAAACGTTTTGAAACGTCTTTATCCAAATAATATTTCTGTAACAGTGTTGTAACTTTGTGAAAACGAAAATCGCTCGTGCCAGTGTCCTATGGGCGCGCGCACACTTCAGTGTTATACTTCGTGAAACCAAAATTTGCCATTAAGCGGTTTTCACGCAGTAACACAGAAGTGGACTGAAGTGGACTTGGGTGTTACTTCGTCAGTGGTGTCGATTACGAGATTGACAGCGCTAATTTTGTCATTTGAACTTGAATGTGACGTTATTTTGGCCTTGACCCCATGATGACCTTTGACCCCAGTTTCGTCATGTGACATGTTGGGGCTCGGCTGCTGATACTTTTGACAACGTTTGGTTGAAAGCGGTCCAAATATGTAGGAACAATATACAACTGCAACGATTGTTACTATAACAAATAAAGCGTTTGTTACTAACTAACTAACTAACTAACTAACTAACTAACTAACTAACTAACTAACTAACTAACGGAGAGACATGATGACTTGTTGAACTGCTATAGCTACCCCACAGATAAAAATACAATTATGTTTTTCCTGTAATCCATGAACTTTCTCGTTTCAAGGACCATGCATGTCTCATCCTATCAATGGAGATGAACACTTTGGAACATCCGGTAAGTTCAGAATGAGAGCATGCAGGCTTACGGAAAAGAAACCATAACGATGCATAATTGTAAAGAAATAATATTAACCTGGGATTAAGATTCACATCATTTAACTTTAAAAATGTGTTCAATCTAAAACGACGCTGTTATGAGAAACAAAGTTTCTACATTTTAATACTACTCACAGTTTTGAATTATCCGAAGTAGGAAAACAATCGTACACTGCACATAACAAACGTTTCACATATTTCTAAATAATTTGATTATCATCGCACATCATTGTATGTCATTAAAATAATGTAATAAATGTATGCATTTTTTCTTCGGTTTCATGAGCACCCTGCGTCAGTGGGCCTTTAGGGATGCAAAACAGGGCTATCCCTGATAGCAGCATCACAACATCGTCCTACTACAATCATCCCTATTACTACCCAAGTGCCGCTCGTCTTAACGTTGGTGAGTTTTGTTTGTTTGTTTGTTTGTTTTTACTTCCCATTTATAAACGCGTTTGGGTCTAAATCCCAAAAAAGTAGTTGACACAATTTTAACGATATTTTATTCAACGGGGTTTATACAAGTTTGTTTAGAGTGATCTGAATCGTATGCAAAACACGTTGACACGTATTGCCGACAAAGGTAACTGTTATAAAAAAAAAAATTATGCTTTAATTTAGCCAAATGACTAAAAGTTAACACACTGTTGCTAATTTTTAAAGATTTGGGTGTTGTTAATACTCTCATTAAAAAAAACAATGCGTTAGTCTTTCTGCAAACTACCGTCATTGAGGAAATGATTACAATGGCAATTAATGACAAATGTTCATATCAAGGGAAAGGGGCCGCATCATCCCGCATGGGTTGCACACTTCCAGCCCGAGGTCAGTGTTCTCCCTGCCCCTAAAGTCCACCTCACCAGAATTGGGAAACAAAAAAAAGAATGTTTACACAATGGACGCTATATTTTTCACTTTACTCCACAACAGTGTTAGTCGAATCCATCACAAATCCATCTCAAGTCCGATCAAAGCTATATTTTAAGCCCACTCATAGTCCGAGTAATTTGAACCGAACATATCGCCTTTTTAACAATTGAACATGGTCTGGCGATAGTGGGGTCCAAGCTAATCCATATATGCCGAGCGACACAATTCTGTCATTGACCCCAAAACCCAACATTGCCCAACAAAAAACATCAGATTTCACCCTCAAAATGGCCTACAAATTACAAGATACGCCACCTGAGGTACAAGTAGACATCGATAATTAAGATGGTTGTACTGAAGTTTACTTACGATCCGGAAATCTGAAGTTTTTGTTAGGCAATGTTGGGTTTTGGGGTCGATGACAGAATTGTGTTGCTCGGCATATAAGGATTAGCTTGTACCCTACTATCGCCAGACCATGTCCAAATGTTAAAGGGCGGTGAGTTGGGTCCAAGTTACTCGGACTAGCCCACTCACAAGTCCTTCTCACAATTGATGAACGATAACAAAGGGCAGTTCACCCAAACACGTTTGACTTGCAACTGCACAACCTTTGAAGAACTTGACTCTTACAATACCTTTCATGTCAATCAGGGAGCTACGGGTGGCGACCGAGATCGACATATTATGGGCAGTGGATCCAGGTCGACCTGGGTAAACCCACGGCAGTTACTGGGCTCACCATGCAAGGCAGATACTCCACTTCCTCATATTTTGTCAGGGCATTTTCAGTGCAGTACAGCATGACGGCGGATTCCGGTGACTGGAGTAGCTTGTCTAACGACGTTGGACAAACTGTCACGGTCAGTGGTTTTCTGAACACACACTGTGACGGATCTAGAAGGGGACTTGCGATTTTGCAAGATTTCTGGACAATCAAAGATTTCACAGAGCAGTGAAATACTGAACATAGGCCTAATTCACACGTCAATCATTCACACAGTTTAAACATTTTCTTTTCGACAATAATGACCGATTTCAAAAGCCGTCAAGTCATCTTTTGAGTGTTTTGCACTTTATATCGAGATCTTTGGCCACAGACCTCAACCAAACGTACTCAATATATTTTCTCCCTTTGAACATGAAATCAATTCTCTTACAGTTCAGAGTGAGTAGTGGTGCAGCGACAAATGTCACCTTCCCGATGGTAAACCTTGCGAGGTTTATTCGCATTTTCCCATCTCAGTGGCAAGGTAGCGGCTACTTTCTGAGATTTGAGGTGCTCGGATGTCAAGGTACATTATGTTATACAATGCAAATTAATAGGCAAGGGTAGTAAAGCTGGTCAACTTCGGGCCAAGGTGGGCTCAAGCACATATAATTCTAGACTCGATGACAAGTCGTTAGATAGTCGTGAAGTTCAGCGGAACTCCAGCATCATTTGGTCTGGGAACCAGACTACGCGCATTTCAGCGATATTTTGCGTGCGTGAAGCCAGTAACTGGTCTAATATAATTCACAAGGGTGCAACCCTGCAATAAAATTCCCATAGACACTAGTGCTAAATGCGCATACTTCAAAACTCTTTTAGAAATACTCAGAACTCTTACAGGTAATTCAAGCTGCACAGACAAATGATAATCAATGTGTCATCTTTCTTTCTTTTTCTTCATTTTTTGGTGGGTTGACCATTGACTTTTTGAGATATTCTCACCCAAAGTAGACGACCCCTATTTTCCCCAGAGCGGAAAAGTAGCCATCTTGAAAAACGATCCCTCCACAACATGGCAAAATAGCGCCACCTTTGAGCCCAATAGCATCCAAAATGCTCCGAATTGGAAGCCCCAAGTCCGGGCCAGATGTTCATTACCATATCTCTTCAATTGCCCAATTTTATGGCTCTCATTAAACTCTCTAATATAGAATATTTGAGGGTATAAATTTTATTCATGAGCTCGGCGGACGGATTTTTGGCCTATTCACAGGCGTGCACCATTAAATCTCCAAAGTCATTATTTTGGAAAAAAAATGAAAGAAAAAAATTATCCGAGGTCAACATGTGGCCTGCAAATAGTGACTTTTTTGCGCCTGCTAGCTGTAGAGCGCCCCCAATGACAATTAATTGAGTTTCAGCTACTTTGAAGCTCAAAATGCCCCCCCCCCCCTTTTTTTCAACTCGCAACTGCTGTAATCGGCTGATAGCCTACGACTCCCTTACGATTTGGGAGCATCCGTTACGGAACAGCCCTTGTTGATACCTTTAAGTCCCCATAGGCTCCGCCCACTGAAAAAACACCGCCTCGGCAAAGCGCATGCGCGGCGGCCATCTTTAATTGTCAGTCTCTACAGGGTGCAACCCTGCAATAAAATTTCTATAGATACTAGTGCTAAATGCGCATACTTCAAAATTCTTTTAGAAATACTCAGAACTCTCACAGATTCAAGCTGCACAGACAAATGATGATCAATGCGTCATCTTTCAGTTTCTTTTCATTTTTGGTGGGTTGACCATTGACTTATATTCTCACCCAAAGTAGACGACCCCTATTTTCCCCAGAGCGGAAAAGTCGCCCTCTTGAAAAACGATTCCTCCACAACATGGCAAAATAGCGCCACTTTCGAGCCCAATAGCATCCAAAATGCTCAGAATTGGAAGCCCCAAGTCCGGGCCGGAGGTTCATTGCCATATCTCTTCAATTTCCCAAATTTATGGCTCTCAAAATTCTCTAATATAGAATATTTTGAGGGTATAACTTTTATTCATGACAGTCCGCAGTGAGTCGCTCAGGTACACGGGGAACTCAATTGAGGCTGATTCTTTTGGACCAGCAGAAAAAAAAATTTCTCTTGTCTTGTAGATAACATCATTTTTCAAATTAAGTACAATATCAACTGCAGTCTAACTTGGTCTGGCTCCCTGTAGATGCACAGTGTAAAATAATAGCAACCAAATGCATGTCTTGTTAAGACTACTTGTATTAATTAAAGGAACACAATAGTATTAAAGGGACTAATAAAAGTCGTGTTAGTCCGGCAGATTGGGATGGAAAATAAGGTAGCACTTTAAATACCTAACTAGAATGAAAATTTGCATAAGCTTTCGTAGCAACACCTACTTCATCAGATGCAATGAAGAGGGGCATCATCATACAAGGTTAATATAGGGGAACATGTACAGTAAAAACAGAGGGTGGTGATCAATCAATTATCAAAGTTGTAGTGTGACAAAGCCACGATCCCTATTAAGGCAATCCCGGTACATGTACATACCGTTATTTCGTTTTACCGTTTTGGATTTTCTCAAAAACAAACACAGTCAACAAACCAATGACTGTTTTGTCGTTTTACAGTTTTGTTAAACGGTCAAACGGTATTAAGTCACAAAAAAACAATGACCTTTTTGTTATTTTTTTTAAATTGTAAAAAGCGATAAACGGTTAGTTGCTTTTTTTTAGAGTGTTGTTTTACAAAACATGACAATGACAAAACGGTCAATAGTCTTGTCGACCAATTTTTGGATTCAGGTTTGGCAATTAAGCAATGCACCTTGGAATGTTAATGTGTCCTTGTGATCGATTTACTGCCTGCATGGACAATTATGTCGTTCTCACGACAGAATTTGCGAATATTAGCTATTGATGAGCCGCGCCAAAGTCCAATTTCCTTCAAAATATCTGCAACTTCTTCATACGTCTTACCACCCTGTATCCATTCTGAAATTTCCTCCTTGAAATTGTCCAGCGCCATTCTTGCTTGCAACTCTTTAAGCCCCACCATTTAATCGCAGTAGGTGGGGGTTAGGGTTACGCCAGGAATCACACCACGCATTAATTATGCCGAGGTAACACTCTTCTTCGTGCACGGCATGGTCCCCCTCCACCCTCCCCCCCCCCCTTGCCAACCGCCACAAAATGTACCAGGGACTGTTAACTATGACCCTAAAATAAGAATAAAACAGTCTGTATTCAATACTGACCGTTTTGCTGTTTTTCAAAGTTATTTGTGTAAAACTGAAAACAAAAATCATTGATCATTATGCTGTAATTACTAAACTGATAAAACGAAATAACCATATTTATCTTAATACCGTTTGACCGTTTTACAAAACTGTAAAACAACATAACGGTCAATGGTTCGTTTACTGTTTTTGTTTTCGAGGAAATCCAAAACGGTAAAACGAAATAACGGTATGTCCCGGGATTTAAGGCCTAGTTGAATACAGTAATCCAGTAGTAATCCATCTTTATTATAAATTAACATTTAAATAAGATTTGAATTGTAAGCGCAGTATAGTTGATCCGGAGGCAAAAAATTGAAGAAGACAAATCATGACAAGAAAAGAAAGAGAAAACGTTTATTATACTTAAATAACTAGATTTTCCTGATTTATAAACCGTACTTAGCACACATGACCAATCGCACTCCCAATTCACAGGTGACCTTAATTTAAAGTGGTGAAACGTTTTAAAATTCAAGACGATTATAGTCTATGCAAAGAACGAAGTCATTATGTTGCGTTGAAATTTATTAGGCCATTCAACTAGACAATTTATTGTTTCCTGAAAATTCAAGTTCAGGCTTATAGTTTTATTTTTTGATGTTGTGTATTGCACAACTTTCCTAAACAAACCTCTTAAGACAAAATATTTTCAAAAGATGATGCACGAGCGGAAGCGACCATATAATTGCATTATATAAGGTCCGAGGGCGGTCTGGGATTTAATATACTGGTCTTGGACCATCTTAACGAGGCTTGTCTATCCATGTATGACGAAGCATCATGCTACACCACAATGTACATATATTAGTCTGGCGCCTCGTGTTCTATGTGCTTTTTGATACACATGTATAGGCAATAAGTCAAGTCTCCATGCGAATTACGGAGGTACAATTACAGCTTAAAATAAGAGCTTTATAGCCAATTTAGATCAGTTGAATAAATTTTGCCCTTTTTTTACAGTTCCGGATGATGGCGAGATTAAGTTGGTTGACGGCGACGACGAAAGAAGCGGCCGAGTGGAAATCTACCACCACGGCGAAGGGGTGAGCTGGGGAGCCGTCTGCGCCAGTGACTGGGACATCAACGACGCTGACGTCGTGTGTCGTCAGCTGGACCTCGGCGCCGCAGTCCAGGCTAATAAAGCATCGGAGTACGGGACAGGCGACTTGCCCGTCGTGATGAACAAAGTGGCCTGTGAGGGGACAGAGAGCAGGCTGGCTGACTGTCCGTTTGTCTGCACCGCCTATCAGCAGTGCAACAACTCCGACGTAGCCGGGGTAGTCTGCCTGCCCAAGCTAAGTAAATAACAGTTTCAGTTGTTCATAACTGTATTACTACTATTACTGTAATAGGGAGACAGGTTTTGCGAACTCCGTCCACAATAGGGCGATACACCTTATTGAGGCGACAAAATAACTGTCGCCCTTTTATGAAAACGACCCTTAGGACAAGGAATTTTGCCGTCGCTAACCATATAGATCGATTCCTCATGGTCCAATTAGTATAAATACTAAATTTCGTGGAAAAAAACATAAGGTGAACTTGGGTTAGGTGACAGTTTAGGTTTGTGCACAAGTCTATGGGAAAGACACCCTATTGGGGCAAAAAGAGTTATTTATTATTTCTCTTCTTCTTCTCATCATCATTGTCATCATCATCCTCATTTATAGACACTTTGAACCCAGACAAATAGGAGAGTAATTCGGTAACAACAAATGAACAAATGGCTAAACAAACACACGGTACACACCCCTACCGAACAAATTCACTGACCCTCCCAAGATGGCTTCCTTGAAATGGATCTATAAAGTTATCGCCGTCGACATCACCCCAATAACTCCCCTTAACCTTTTGGAAAAATTATGGTTCAAGTTCACAACAGGAGGGCGCTCTTTTGTTGGTTAGTTACTATGAGCAACTCGGATGGTCGAAACGTCATCACGAATGTGCGTTATACGATACGCACAAATATTGGTATACAGGCCTACCGGCGATACGACCGACACCGATTGGTGGATCCCGAATATGTACCCAAATTATCGTTGACTACCCAGCGTTACATCAGAGTTGTTCAAAAATATCATTACTGTATGGTTCCTGATCGAATGCTATTTTCTTTTCACCCCAACTAAATAGCGGCCTCCTATTGTGACCGCATAATACATGTATGTTCAGGGGGCGCCTTTGGTTTGCGCGGGTATTTTGGAGCTCAAAGGGCCTCTTCAGTGTTACAATGCTCGGCCGATCATTACCCCAAACATTCCCGATAAAATGTACATGCACTGCTGGATCGGGAGTTGCACCGCCCCTCCCCCTCCTCCAGTTCATCCGCTGACTAATAAAATGGGCCAAAAATAATTAATTGAACGCTTACGTTCTTAAAACCATTCTCAAATTGCTATAGAATGCAGGAGAAACTATCGTAGATTTCAAAGCTCTCGGGAAGCCTGCCCCTGGACCCCCTAGTAGGGTGCGCCTTCGGCATGCCTTCACTCAACTCCCCCACCACACACCCCCTTCATATCAACCCCCACCCTCCTGGCCGTTTCTTGAAAGCTAGAACCGCCCCAAAATATGTTTTACTTGAACCTTATTTAGACACCATTCGGTTGGTGGGAGGCTCAAACTCTAGCGGCCGGGTGGAGATCTACCGCAACGAGACCTGGGGCACCATATGCGACAACAAGTGGGATATCGACGACGCTACCGTGGTATGCCGCGAACTGGGCTTCTCCGAGGCTGAAGAGGCCAAGATGGGGGCCTACTTCGGGCAGGGCAGCGGCCCTGTCCACATGGAAGGCGTGGCCTGTGAGGGCTCGGAGGAGGCGCTCGGCGACTGCCCGTCCCAGTGCTGGGAGGAGTCGACTTGCGGCCACACCCAAGATGCTGGAGTGGTCTGCCGTTATGGTAAAAACGTTTTAACAGTTTAATTTATGCGGGATTTGACACCTGCAAGTTTACATATACAGAAGGTCCTTTTTTTGTACGATAACGCACCCAGCGCTGCAATTGTGAATTATGTCCGGTGTTTAATTAAAAAGAACAAATTAATTGCAGTGTAGTTCTGTTGCTAGACAGATCAAATAAAATCTCAAAATTACGTCACGAGAAGTAAAAAGTAGCCGATCAAATCGCCAGTTTTCCGAATTCTGTCCAAGAATTTATCATAAGTCTTGTGTTTTATTCACCTCATACAAAATCATGTTTCTGTTCTAATTTCCGGTTTTTTTCTGGTTTGATCTCTTTTTCAGATGACGACAACATTCTTGGCGGAATTGGGGCTCAGTAATAGATGACACACTTCCATTGAAACGTGTCCATTATACTCTGATTCGTCAAGGTTTCGATCGCCTGACGTTTTAATAAACATAACTACTATGTAATACGTACACGTACATGGTGAGGCGAAAAGAAAGTGACCTAATGCAACAAACACATTTCACAAAATGTGTGGCTCGCTCCATTTAATAAAAATTAACAAAGGGATAAAGTGTATATTATTGACCAGTAAACTGTGAAAATTTGGGTACTATGTTCACAAATTATGTCTTATTTCAAACATAACAACATTCAGCTGTCCATCAATGATCATTTACCTTTCATATACAATGAAAACAGAGCGTTTTCTTGCCTACGTGAATGAACGAAAATTTGCGTAGGAAAACAGAAGAAAAAAATCACCATTATTATTTCAGGGACAAAATCCTCACATTCAAAACACAAAAATCAGACAGTAAAACTTATGTCCCAATCTTCAAGTTGACAACAATTATTTCAAAAATCTCATTTGTATCTGAACGCCTGCAGTGAACTCTAGCTTTCAGTCAGCTCAATAGCTTCAAATGGATTCCATCGACAGCTGTAGAGCTGTAAGAATGGATTCTTTTAGTAAAGTATGCAGAACTTCTCGTAGCATGGATCAATGTCAGTAACTCATTTTTTTTTCAAGTAAGATGATATGCTCGATTGATATGCTTCGATCGATTGTGTGTCCAATTTAATTGATTTTTAAGGGGGAAGGAAATCATTAATCCAGGTCACTTTCTTTTTGGCTCATCCTATGTGGGTAGAAAGCGTGCGTTAACTATAATGGTCTTGATGCTCCACTATAGTCACTATATTATTCTCCTGTATATCGATGTACTCAGTTAATATGGAACCTTCGGGTTTTTGATTTGATTGTTTACAGTAGCTTGTTATGCAAATACATCCGTGAAGATTGTAGCAACGGACATGACAAGGTGGAATTGTGCGAGAAACTGAAGTAGGGGACCTATAGGCCAATAAGAGGCCCAGTCATGCATTGTAACGGTTTCGGGTGTTTGACGACTATATCGGAAATTTGAAAAGTTTGCCTCTGTTACCATGTATTTCCTTGTATGACGGTGTATGACCTGAACGGAAATATTTCAACATGAAAATTCGGAGGGGGGTGGTCATGCCTCAAACAAGTGTCATTTCTTTCCTCCTCTTTTGAGTAATAAATCCGGCAGAGAAGTCAAGACGACTCTTTTTACAACGATGCAACTCATCTCCATATCCCTTTAAGGATTTGTGAAATATAACTGGAAAGGCAAGACGTTTGACTTTTGTTTTTGTTACAAACAAGTTGACCGTGCACGGTCATATACACATTGTCAACCCCAGTTGTGAATTATACATGTATAAAAACAAAAAACCAAAAGAATGATGAAATTCATCCTTTTCAGTTTAACCATGAATTAATACATCATATTTCGGTATGTGTCAAATGATAATGGATTTCGTCTAGACGTTATTCAAGATAAATAAAACGAACTTCGCAAAATAGAAAAAATTGCACCAACGTGTATGTGTTTGTATTACACCTAACATTCTAAGTGTATAACAGCGTTAGTATGTGCATAATATATACAATTTAACTGATATTTTTTTTGCAAGAGTCATCGCCATATTGGGTACGAATGAAAATGATGAATTTGTATTTGAAAAGAGGAAATTTAAAGCTAATCATTTTCAGATTCTCCGTACAATAACTTCCGGTCTTGTGACGTCATCATTCTGAAACTCCCAGAAAGAATTTTTATCCAAGTATGTTCAAGGGCAATTCAGTAGAATTTTAAACATTATCCAAAACCTTTTTCTCAAAATCCAAATTTCTTGGACATCCGCTAGAGGGCGGCCATTTTGGGTGATGACTTGTGTGTTGGCATCCCACATCACAAAATAATTACTTGAAAGTCCATTCAGTTCAAAAGTTACAGTTGAACTATTTGCTCGATACTCAACCACTCGATACTTTTGTTCGATAATGAACTGATCGATATGCAGAAACGTCCTCGATGATTGATTTTTTCCCCCAACAATTTAATTGATTTGTTCTTTCGATACCGAAACTACTATAGATCACTCGAAATCGGTACTTAATTTAATCTCCTGGGTTTTTTTGTTGAAGTCCCGATTGTAACATTATTCTTTCATTTAATGATAATTTCTTCAAAAATAATCCCTCTACCCGTAACAATTTCATTGATCACTTATCATTTACAGGTATAGTACTTGATAGGGAATATTCTTATTTGAAGAAGAATATAAACTTAAAGCAGATCCACCGTCAACAAGACTATCAGCTGCAAGTTTGACTTTTGTTCAGAACATGTTCTATTTTTACTCCTTTTGTTGTACTGATGTTTTGTTACGCAATGCATGCTTTAGACGTGGCTTCCACATAGTATACATTTAACTTGACCAAGTTCGACAACAATTCAACAACAGGTGCGACAGTGTATCCACGTGCCGACTTACGCAGAATTAAATATTATGGACCAACACTACTAAGGACCAGGGCAGTGGTTTACATTGTTCGTGCAAAGACGTTGTTGGTAGAGAATTCAAAGGTATTAATTTCATTCATATCCAAATACACAATTCAATCACGCAATACTCGAACCTAAGAAGAACACACTTGGCTCAAGAAAAGTAGGCCTATCAAAGCTAGACTCGGGGGGGGGGGGGTAATTAAAATATTACAACAAAAAAAGGTCAAACCAAGTAAGCACTGAACATTTCAACTATAATCAGCCATTTTGACAGTCACATTATAAACAAGTAGGTGCTGGAAATCTTGCCCAGAATAAACAAAAATTGAAGTGGAAAGGTTGCAGTAATGAAACAGCACTATATGGAAAGGATACATTATTTCCCACACATTATGTTGTTATCTTTAGTTAAATTTTGTTAAACTGTTCACTTACCTCGGAAATTTGTTTTTCACTTACCAAAATCTTGATTATAATCTTGATCTGTAAGAAGTTGAACCATCGATCACTCAGATTCGTCGATAAATCCACAGATACAGCTCCGCGGGGAGATTCATGCACAATCTAAAGAAGTTCTTTCCGTCGGCAAATACTGAAAACAGTAGTTCTGTTCTAGAAGCACTAATCCCGCTGTACATGTCATTTACAGAACGTACAGTAGGATCCCTTTGAGTTTTGGATGCAGGTAAACAGCTCCGACCCTTTGTAGTGTCTGTGGCAGTTCGTTTTTCACACAAAGTACGCTAAAAGTTTAGTCATATTTCCGGTTCTCAGTGCAGGAAAAGTTTCACAGTTTGGTAAATTGACACAGAGTTCACTAAAGTTCACTAGAGCCCATGGATACTTTCACTCACCCTCCGTTTCTTACAGAAAATCCTTAGTTTTGGAGTGCTTGAATCAGCGTCAAATTAACGTTAAAATGTGGCAGCAGAAATCTGGAAGCCCGGCCGTGACATTGACCCGTATGCAATGCCATCTCACCTGAGGACACAATTGAAGCTCGTTTCCCTCTCAAAAATACTCCGCATAATTCCACGACTCGTTGCTGAAGTATTGCCCACATCGTCACATTCGAGTCGAAGGGTCATGCATTCTCCACATCCACACACACACAAAAAACGCCGAAGAAATCTCATTTAAATGAGCAACACAAAAATGCCAGCCATTCTGTCGGAAATATATGACTGAACTATTGACCCGAAGGCACGGTTTTAATTAAGAAAGTAGCCGACAGGTTATAGTAATTAGGCTACGTGTGTCTTTTACATGGAAATGCTTGAACTGTAGATGTGTCCCTCCGCGGCCGCGTTTCTCAACGTAATGGTATTTAAACATGTGCATTTTCACACTGTTTCGTCTCCAATTAAACCACTTACGTAGCTCGTCAAAAGGGTTATTCATGACAAAAACGTCTTCATAATTTAAGAAATACCGAGGGCCTATTTTTCATTAAAGGGGAGCGATATTGAGATCAGACCCGCTGAAAAGTTGGTCACGCACGCTGAAGTAGAGTGGCTGCTATTGGTTGGAAGTACAGCTGCAGTTAAGATTGACAGGTGGGAAGCCGGCCTATGCAATGCACTTTACTTACGTAGGCCTATTACGTGAAAAGGTGTGGGCGTCCGCGGGCACCCCCCCCCCTTGTTTTTTTCCCCGACGAAACCATTTCTGACCCAAATAATAATAAGCAAGCCGGCCAGTCGACAGCGGCATCTCAAATGGAGGGGGGCCGTCAGCGTCCGCCAATATTAATTGTATTTATTATTAATTTTATAGTTTGGACGCCGATTTCTGGACACATTTTTGATTGTGCAGGCACAAGTTCATAATTTTGGCATTATAGGTCTATATTAATGGTATCCCAGAACATCACCAGATTTGTCTAAGACAAAAGTTCTGAATTTTTCTTATGGATCATCATCGGAACTAAAAAGCAAACTTTACTTGGACCTATTTATATTTTTTTGGAGGACTGGGCAATTTAAACAGCGCCCTCAATCGATAGAGGCTGTGTTAATTTCCGTTTTAGTCAGGTTCGATTCCAGGGCTCTGAATTTTTTAACGAAAATGGAAGAAATATCCAAAGGCAAAGACACCGGTGAAGTTACGGAACTTCCGGAGGTTGACATAAAGTGGTGTGAATTTTGCCCATCCAGTAGACAGGAAGGAACCCTTCAGACCCTCAAGGTAATTAATGTCATCGTGGTTTTACCATGTTCACTGGATGATGGATCAAAAATCATTGACATTGCACTAGCATGACTAGCCCAGGTTGGACGACGTCTTCATTGCATTACCATAGGGTGTTTGGTTAAGAATTCCCCCATAGACCCATAGCCCTAAACATGCATTAAATATTCAGAGCAGATATTGTAGTTGAGAATGACGTTGGATTTGTTCAAATCGCTGTTGTGGTTTTAGAGATATTGAAGATTTAGTGAACTGAATGCCAAGTGGCAAGACCAGTTTTGGGCATGTTTTGGGCATGTTCATGATGTTGGGACACCTCAGAAGAATCTGATTTTCTTCTGACTGTGTTTTTCTTTATTTTCTACACGGTCATAGCTTTATACACACCATATGGGGAAAGGGTTAGGGATAACAAAATTAACTAGATTTATGTTTGTCATGTTTGTGGACAAACACAGGACTGTTTCTGTAACTTTTTTGTTACTGTATCATGTGACATGTAATTTAGTTTCAAGTATACAGTTGTAAGTTGCATCTAGAAAGTCAATAAGTATAACTCTTTAGTTGATAGTTCGTGTAGTGTTTATTAGTCATCAACCAATGACAACAGCGGCTGCAAAGTAAAGGAAAAGATTACATTATGAATCATAGTTCTATATGCCACCCAAGTCTTTGGGAATAACAAAGGCTAACAATTCTAGGAAGAAAAGATTCCAAATGTAACAGACATAACTAAGTAACCTAAAGAAAAGCACAGATTGCAAAGGCGTGAACATGAACAATTAGCAAAGATCGAAACAAGAATAAACATTGGTTATAGGAAGAAAACTGTAGCTGTAACTTTGGCTATATAAAAAAAAAGGTCAGAGTATATGGGTGTCCTATAGTTCATCCCGAAGCCTGGCAGGCGGTCGTGACAAGCGAGTGGATCGGCGAGGGGCAGTCGAGGAGCGGTCCAGGGGTGGCAGATCCACGGTCGGGGCCAGGTGTTCCTTCAGACCAGGAGTATTGTGTGGCAGGAGGCCGCGGAGTGCACGGGGAACGGAGCCTGGGTGGGACCGGCTATTGGGTGGACGCGTGGTGGCCACGGTGGGTGTCACAGGTGAGGTGGGAGTCGGTTCCAAGCCATCCGGGGTTGGAGGATGGTTGGTGCGGGTTGGCTGGGAGACGGCTGGAAGCATCGCAGGTGGTGTGGCCGAGGCGCCCTGCGGTAACCAGTTGTTGGCCTGCACCAGAGGGGTTGCTTTTGGGTGCTGGCTAGCTGCATGCGACCCCGGCAGCGGAGTTGTTGGGCCGGGTGCCATCAGGAGGGGCGCACGTGGAACGACAGGCAAGTACTTCCGCAAGAATCGCCTGTTGCGTAGGGTGACTCGACCAGATCCATCAACCCTCACAACATACTGGTCGAATTGCCTCACCTCCACCACAACCCCGGTCTTGTCCCACTTGGTCGGGTGCGGTCCGGTCTGGTTCTGGATACGCACGCAGTCGCTGACAATCAGTGGCGTGAGGGGACGGGTGTGCTCTGAGAGACGCTCTGCAGCGCGCATGTGCCGGTTACGCAGTGCCTCCTCGCGGGATGTGAGTGTCTCCGGCCATGTGCTGTGTGGGTGGTACTTCCCAGGGTGGATGGGTATGAAGTCACGGATGGGACGCCGGAAGACGCACATAGCACGTGAGATGTGCGTTGTTGAACAGTTCAGACTTGTTGCTGAGATTGAGAAAGTGTTTTGCTCGTTGTAAAGTTGTATTGTCTTGAATTTTTGAGTTACGGATTTGTCATTTAGAAATGGCCGAAGCATCTCCAACTGCCAGTATCTTCTCTGAATTCAACGAGTACCTCACGAATGATCAGGACGTTAGGGAAGAGATTCGCGTTGCGGTGCGTGTGATGGAGCAGACGGCCAGAGAAGTCACGACCACGCTGGAGGGCATACACCAGGACTCAAAGAGGCCGCTGTTGTCATCAATAAGTATAACTCTTTAGTTGATAGTTCATGTAGTGTATATTAGTCATCAACCAATGACAACAGCGGCTGCAAAGTAAACAATGGTAAAGGAAAAGATTACATTATGAATCATAGTTCTATAGAAAGCATGTGTAATTCTGTTAATAAAAATGGTGGCATATACAATTGTAAATATGTGATTACATTTTAATTGGGCTTTGAATTATGACGTCACATATCACGTGATGATGTCATGATGATGTCATGATGGCGTCATATCAATTTTCATCTATTATATAACAACTTGCCGCTAGAACGCGGATGGTTCGCTTCCGTACGTTAGCCCCACTGGTGAGCCTGTGGTATTGCTGCGCTGTATCTCTGGCTACACGATAGGTTCTGCCCACAACTGAGGAGTTTCGCAAAAAATTACGCAAGTTTTTTTTAGATATGGTTGTATTCTATGATGTCTCAGCTGTTCGGAAAGATCCCCATATCTGGCCATCACTTACTAATTTTTCCCTTCAGTGACGTGACCTATAGTATCAGCCATCAGAAAGTGATAATAAATAATAGGCCTATGTGAGTATTTCTTAAAAGTCAAATTTAGCAGGGCAAATATTGAAGTATTTGCTGAGAAAACACTCCGAAAGTTTCAGACCAGTCTCATACATTGTACATGTCATACGGTTTGTGCACAGGGTGACAAGTAATGGCCAGAGTTACTCTTTCCTAGAGTTAGAACACCTCCATTTTTTAGCTACAGTGACAGTGTAGTGCCATTCAAATTTTTTTTTTTTTTTCAGTTGACTTTATTCCGACATGTCCGAGTAAGTAACTTGTTCTTGGACCCTAACATTACAAATCGCCTTTTTTAAGATTGGGGCATGGTCTGGCAATAGAAGGGTTCAAGTTGATTATTAGAGATGGCCTCGGTTATATCATTTATCAACCCAACCCTTTGCCAACAAAACATCAGATTTCACCCTCAAAACGGCCACCGAATTACTAAATATTAAGCCTACTGAGATACAAGTAGAGATCAATGATTAGGAGGTACTAAGGTTTTAGTACTAAGGCCCAAAAAAAGTATAGTTCTGCTTCCGGTTTCCCTACCTACCCTATTCTGACAGCCCCTACCCTAATTTTTTTTTATTGGAAAATGAGAAACAAACACCCAAAACCATCATTTTATACCTTTTAGCCTTGACTATACGCAGACGCCTCCATATGATCGTACACAAAAGAAATTGGCAAAAAAAAACAATTCCCTACCTACCTACCCTAATTTCGAATGCCATGTAATCGGAAGCAGAATTGTTATTTTTTGGGGGGGCCTAAGGTACTAAGGTTTACTTACGATCTAGATGAAAAGTGAAATTAAGCATTTATTGGCGAAGGCTTTGTTGCGAATACTACGCAGGTGCCATTTTAAAAATCACGTGACCAGCCCACCGGGTCATCAGTTGCCTGACGAAGTCTGATGGTTTCGGACGCAACGTTGCAAATTGCAAATGGTACACTTGTAAGTTCCAGCATAAGATTGATTTGATATCTCACTTCAGTTTGCAATAATATTCCATCCACACTCCAACTTTTTTCAACATGGTCTTATGCAGGAGACTTTGCCTCAAGGGTACCAGTACATTTGCTGTCAGCAGGAGACCACCAAAAACATCCCCCGTGTGGATTTCCGAGTGAACGTCAAGGACGAACATCTGGCCAAAGAGTGGCTGGTCAAGTACCAGGAGACAACACTGGCGACATGGCGAACGGCAAGGACGTATCCCAACCGTGGCAGTAGGACGTTGTGTCGTGTAAGTTAAAGGGAATATACATGTACAACATGTGCAAACATCGAAAAATAAAACTACCAAGTTTTTAAGAAATACCTTACTAGGATGTTGGTAAATGAGGGTCTAAAGCATCCTGTAAAATTATGGCACCTGGTGTGAAGTCATTTTCAAGAAAATGGTATTTTTGTATACATTTCCAACGGTGGTCGGCCGACCACCGTTGGAAAAACCTAACTATCATTTCAACTACTGCTCCAAATTTGCCATTTTTTTCAGTCCAAACTTTGTTTGGTATTTGTTTACATGTTCATGAACGGATGCAGGCCAGCTAGACTGGTTTTCCTACCTTACAATTTTCTGGCAACTATAAATTGATCCATTTCATCCTTAGTGGAGTCAGGGAAACAGACTACTTGAACAATTTTGTTTTTCTTGGTTTTCCAGCATTTTCGAACATAAAACTTCAAACATGTCAGTGTAACAATATTTTATATATTATACTAACCCCTCAAATACTCCATTTCTGAAAATTACAGCAAAAGCCAATGATGTACATTCCCTTTAATGTACCTGTAGAGTTTGCATGTAGAGGGCTTGCACAGACCTGTCTCACATTGGCCAGGTCTTTTTTCCTTTGTGATCATAAGATGGCATAGGTAACTTGTGCCTATTATAAAGCTCTCGCCTCTCACCGCTCATCACTGTGGCCCTGGTTTGAATCCTTTCCGCGGACCATACATGCGGTATGTGAGTAGAGTTGTGCGTTGGTTCTCTCCTGTGCCACGACGTTTTTTTCTCCAGGCCCTCTGGTTTTCTTCCCTCTGGAAAAATCAAACACTTTCGATCTCTGGCCGTGCTCCATGGTCATATGGGTCGTATGGCTTGCTGCCAGAGGTGCCTTTACATGCAAGCAGCCCGACCACGTTGTAGCCACGTCCTTCGCAAGTCATCTTCTCAGCTGCGAGTAAGGATGATTAGCCTCCCAAATTATTAAAGATATGGAGTAAAAAGAATAGATCAGTAGTGCATGCATACGCGCCCATTCACTGTGCGATGACATTTTTGTGGTCTCTCGTGGATGCGCAAAACATTAACGTAAAGTAATACAGCTTTCCTTCAGCACACGATTTAGCTCAACGCACATTGTGCACGTAAATGGTGTTGCATTCGTAACGTCACGTTTGGTGCGCATTTTTTGTATCTTTACTCCAGCACGTGACCCTCCATTATAAATGGGCTTGTTGCAGATTATTTTGAAATCATGATTCCTTAATTGTGATTCCCAAAGTGAATTGCAGAAACAACAGCACCAATGCATTTGCGAAGGCTGAAAATCTGAAGTTAAATATGGAATTCTATTTATTTTGTAAAAATGCAGCTGGAAAAGAGATGTCAGCACATGACCTGTCCACGATCCAAATCAGCGGACCAGCGAAAAGGCTCCAAGAATACCAACTGCCCAGCGGTGCTCACTGCCATTGTCAGGAGAACAGAGTTCAAGCGGCATAACGGCAAAGACAGAACATGCAGGTACGTGTATTGTGGCATCTAGTTTGAAATGAAGGCCTGCATTTCATCAAACTCTTCGTAACTTACGATGTATCGCAGCGATGCGACGCGTCGTATCTCCTACGATGCGTCGCAGCTGCGACGCGTCCTGCGATCCATTTCACGAAACACGTCGTAGGTGTATTTATAACACAACTCGGTGAATGTTTTTTTTGTATCATGTCAGCGTACAGTAAATAGTCGTCTGATATTCAACAAAGAGTCGTTGGATCTCAACTCGGCGAAATTTGTAAAACGTGAAACAAAATGGCGGCCGTGCGATGCAATTTTGAAGGAAAACAAGCTCTCATTGGACTGTATAGCTACTTTGAAATTTCAACTCTAATATTCCGGTCTAATTCATAATTACATGTAGTCAATGAATTTTTCTTTTTACAACTTTACACACATTGCCTCGGTATTATAATCTCGTTTATGTAATGTTTATGGAATAAAACTGGCTTAGAAAATGACTCTTCTTATTTTGCGATGACCACTAGACACGTCGTAACTTGCGACGTGTTTTAAGCCGTTGTCAAGGAAGTTACGACGCGTTGAACACATTGCAACTTTCGTGAAGTGGATGATACGACGCGTCGCGAGTTGCGACGTGTTACACGTCGTAACTCGAGTTGCGACGCATCGCAGCGCTTCGTGAAATCGGGTGCTGATAATGCATATATTATTTGCTGCGCTCGGGGAAGTGCTAAAGTTAAACGTACATTACCGATACTTTTTCAATGCCCAACTCATTCATAACTTGCCCAACATTTTTAACCCTAATCTTCCCAACTCCTTCAAAATCCATCCCCCTGTGTCAATTATTTTGGGGATTTTGGTAGGCAAGCCATGAGCAACTACATGTAAGTCCATCAAAATCCGCCTATACAGGGTGGATAATAAAAAACGAAACCGAGATTTTTTTGCTAATTGGAACAGAAGTAGGGCTCATGTGAATCAACGGGAGATATGTCCTCTGTTAGGGTTGAATCTCCTCTTTAAAATGACACCCTGATCGTGTCCTTACATTCACGGTCGACTGAGCAGTGACCAATTTTACGCAAGGGTCTATTTAGAGGCTTGCGCCACTTTTCAATTGTGGTGTCATTTGTCACAGAGTGAAGGGCTATGGTTGCCAATCAAGGCAGGTGGGGAAAAAAGTGATTTCACCATGAAAAGTGGCGCAAGCCTCTAAGGCCCCCCCCCCCCCCCCAAAAGTCTCTGATTTCTGGTATGCAGCTTCCCCAAAAAGTGGTGCGGCGACGCACCACTTTTTTTTTTTTACCTGATTTTTTTGCTTCAAATGTTGGCTGATGACTGCAAATGGTGCCCGACTAAACTTAGTGCAAATATATGGGAGTCCAGAGAGGCCACATAAAGCTTATTCTCGACCATGACCCAATCTAAAAACACGTTAAAATTGTGCAGCAGCAGGATTCCAGTCAAACCAGTGAGTTTGGCGGTTTTGAGACATCATCTTTCATTGAAATTTTTTTTTTTTTTTCATTTTGCTGACGCGCATGGCTACGGCGACGCGCGTGCATACCAGAAACCGGAGACTTTTTGGGGGGCCTAAATAGACCCTTGCATAAAATGGGTCACTGCTCAGTCCAATTAGCAATAATATCTCGGTTTTGGGTTTTTTTTTATCCACCCAGTAGTAGTGGTGGTCTTGTGGTGGATTTCAGCAGATTTGGTCCTAAAGCATTATAAGTGAAGCAGGGTCAGTGATGGATTTTGGCGGGCTTGATCCAATACTCCAATACATTAAAGGGCCCCAGGGAGAACAGTTCATTGACAACTGATGGGGCTACCTGGTAGAATAACACAACCTATTTGGCACGAAGGGGCACTAATTCCTGAAATCCCTGAAAATTTCATGTTTTGGATTATTTACTTCTCCTATTTTAAACATCTGGTTGAAAGGAAACCAACCGAATGTCTTACCATTCCTGATAAAAGACGGAAAAATAAACCTGGTTGTTTACATCGGACGCGACAGAGTACGCATACGTTTTTCCTGTCGTTTTTAGTCAATATGCAATACACAATGCACAAATGTGGTTTCTTACATGTCCGCAAAAGGCGAACACTTCACGGATGGAATCACAACAAGCATAAACAGCCAGATTTTTGGGGTTGCAGAAGTGGACCCCGAAATTCGTTCTCGCACAAATAATACAAGAACAACACAAAAAACGCCCTTGTTTTGAAGGATAGTTGCATGGATGTTTATCCTACTTTTAAATGTTCTTTCCGATTAACATCATTTCGTTCAAAGCGCGTTTTGTAGCCCAATTGGGCGTATTCAAGGACATAGTGTCCTTTAAACCATAACCATTCTCATGTGAAACCTTAGGCCAAAAAAAATAATAGTTCTGCTTCCGGTTTCCCTACCTACCCTACTCTGACAGCCCCTACCCTAATTTTTTTATGGGAAAAATGAGAAAAAAAACACCAAAATCATCAATTTCTACCTTTTACCCTTGACTACACGCAGACGCCTCCATATGATTGTATACAAAAAAAATGGCAAAATAAAAAAAATCCCTACCTACCTACCCTTTTTTTGAATGCCATGTAATCGGAAGCAGAACTATTTTTTTTTTGGCCTTGCTATTATTTCTCTTTTGTCCATTTTTCTGCTGCCCCCAGATCTGAAGATCACCATCTCCCCCAGTGGCCCATGACGGTAGTCCTGAGGCATGACCACAACCACCCGTTGAAGGCCGCCGATGTTCTCCGGCACCGAGATGTATCTAAGCATGTACGCAAGAAGCTCATCAAGCTCTTCCTGGCAGGCCACTCGCCCACCAGTGCCCTGAACATGCATCAGTATGACCTGCAGATGGAGCATGGAGACAATTACGTCTTTCTGAGTGGAGACAGACATCACAATCCTGATCTCAACTTCACCTGGAGGTACGAGACATTTTTTTCCTCTATAATGCAAAGGTAGAGTATCTCATTTGCAGCTATCCAAAAAGTAACTGACAACATTATTGTTGAAAAGCATACTTGGCTTAAAGGTAGTAATGGCACTAAACTTCCTGTGAAATTATACGTTCTGGCATGCTGTCATTTTGAAGAAAACAATAAAAGAAGGCAATATCCAAAGATGCGTCTAAAGACGCATTTTTGGAATTTTCAGTTGGTAGTTCGTTTTTCATTTGGCGAAGCTATGAATGGGTGCAGGCGACGTTCACACGACGCACATGCGTGCCCGGTTGCTATAATTCGTCAGTTCAGTGCGTGACATCGCGAAGCTGCAATCAGCTGAATGAGAACGTGTCCCGGATGCTGATAACGGGGGCAATTCAAAACATGACTCGGCAACTTTTGAATTGAAATTGAGATCCTAGAATAGTGTTTTCTCGGAATGTACATCATTCACTGAGCTAAAACTTCATCAGTTTACATGTAATTAAGCACCCTTCTTTAGATTTTGAGAACTTTTGTTGCTTCAAACGAAAAAAAAATCGTAAATGATAAATGATATACTCTAACTTTAATACCAAGAGACTTATAGGAATTAAAAATGTCACCATGCAAAAATGACAATAACGCTGAAAATAACAACACATGGGGAAGACATCGTAATGAAGACCTTTCCTTGCACTCACTGGGCTAGATGTACAGCTGCGCTTTGAAATGAAAAACATCACTGATCTCTGTAGTAACCTCCAGAGTATTATTTATCTTGCACACACTGGAACTTTACTTTAGATACAGTTTAATGAATGGCATTCTGAAACCGGTAGTGGGTTCTCTCATTGCTGGTCAAACACAGCATTATCCAAAAAAATTGAAAAGAGATGATGAGAATTCAAAGCTCTGAACCATCAGAAGGCCACTAATTCATGTATACATGTAAATGAGTTGTTTGAAATTTACACTTGTTGTATTTTTCCCCTTCAAAATAGGCTCTACAATCAAACTTTTGTGAAGGAAAAAAGCAACCGAGCGAGGCTGAAGTACGTGCCTGAGTCAAGGGAGGTCACTGAAGAGACACTGGGCAAAAATAAGGACAAGAAGTCATTCACTGTCAGCTCCAACCCAGAGATGGTGAAGATGATGAAGGAGAAGATTGACAAGTACAATCTGGAGAATGGAGACTGTGTCCGGATGAAAGTAGAGGGGAATCAGCTGGTGATGGCTATCATCACTCCACTGATGAAGCGCACACACGCCCTGGTGAGGTATGCTGGGGAGATGGTCTTCATGGATGCCTCGGGCAACATGAGTCGGCACAACACTCACGTGTACATGATGATGACACCCAGCTTTGCCGGCGGCCTGCCCCTGGGTGCCTTCATCACCACAGGCGACTCAAAGCCCCTTGTCCACTCAGCCATCCAGCTCGGCCAAGAGATCCTGGGAGACACTGCCTTCTACGGACGAGGCATGGCAGGTCCTGAAGTCTTCTTCACGGATGACTTGGACGCCGAGAGGTCTGCCCTGGGTGCCGTTTATCCCCGGTCCACTCTCATTCTGTGCATCTATCAAGTCCTGCAGGCCTTTTGGAGGCACCTGTTTGACCCCAAGGTTAAGAACCAGAGAGGTGATGGGCCCTACCTCTTCCAGTTGATGAAGTCCATGCTGTATGCATCCTCAGATACGGAGCTGGAAGCTGCCTATCAGAGTATTCTCCACGATGAAATTGCGGACAAGTACTCATCAGTGAAATCTATGTATCTCAGGATGTATGAGAGAAGAACAGAGTGGGCACTGTGCTACCGGAATAATTTGCCCCTGTGTGGCAACAACACAAGTAACTTTTGCGAATCAGCCATGAGGATCCTGAAGGACAAGATCTTTCATCGAGCCAAGACGTACAACATTGTCCAGCTGGTGGATTTCCTCCTGACCAGGATGGACCAGTACTACCAGAAACGTCTCCTGGATGTTGGCCACAACAGGCTGAATGAGGCCTTAGGGTCCCGGTATGTCTCGAGTGGGGGTACTGCTGCGTGTACCCACAAAGAACAGATCATCAGGGAGTCTGCAATGATATTCCTCATCCCCAACGAGAAATCCACAGAGCAACCTTACAGAGTGGACATGACTGTCGGGCTTTGCACCTGCCGTGTGGGAAGCACAGGAGGACCTTGCTGCCACCAGAAGGCAGTCCTGACAGGATTCTACATCCCCTCCTGGAACTTCATCAGTGTGAATGACGAAGCCACGAGCAAGCTCCTCTTCGAGATTGCAGGAAGCGTAGAGGAGGAGGAGAGTACTCCATCGCGAAAGCGTCCCAGGGAGGACGACATCTCTGAAACAGATGACTTTGATCAAGCTCCTTCAGAGTTCGACGATACTCCGCTGGAAGCAAGAAAGCTTGGCACAGGAGCTAAACAGAGGAAAATCAAAGCAGTATCTCCAAAGGTTAACCAGAAAAAGGTGCTGGCAGATTTGGATGCCTTTGTCACCAGGATCAAATCTGGGTACCTGAAGAACCCTTGCGTGTACAAGGATGCGTTAGAGGACTTTGTCCACCAGACAAAGAAGTTAAAAACAGATGCTGAGTTGGTTTGTGCCTTATATACTTTTGGAGACTAGACTCATATGGTATCGTAGGACAGAACACCTACATGAATGTGTACATATTCTTTGTCAGTTTGTCACTTTTCCGAGGTCATTCTAAGGCAAAATGTGGAAGACGTGTATATATGTAAATCACAATTCAGAAATGTATGACTTTGCCACAATTCAAAATGAATTTTTGCGCAACCATTGAGCCAATGCAGAACACAAACGTTTCAACATAAAATATTTTTTATTTTTGGGATGCATGTAAATTTAGTTTATGAATTTCCTTTTTCCATAATTCTTTTTCGTTCTCTTTTGTTGCTTCAATAGTCAAAAAATAAATAAATAAACTGCCCTGCTAACAGAAATTAAAGCAATGGAATAAAGTTAATTAAGGGAATAAAAACGTGGTTGTGGCCGGTTTTAAACAAGTACAATGTATGTTTAAAGCCGGCTCATGGGCCTGGACGCGTTAATGCCTTTGCCGATTTTATGCATACTTTTTTAATACCAGCTAACCATGGTTTTATTCCCTTAATTAAATTTATTCCATTGCTTTAATTTCTAAATAATGAAAGGTTTGCGGAAACACCATGTGCGAATAATTTCTTAACTAAGAGAATGGTTCTGAAAAGAACCAGAGGTATAAACTCGACGTTCCGGTCAGTATGCTCTGACCGTCTTCAGGAGATCTTTAATTTCTGTTCGCAGGGCAGTAAAGTTCAGGCAATGAATGACTTTCCGATTTCCGATTTTGTTCAACAAAATGTTTTACCTCGTGTTTTGTGGAACACCCCTCCAGCTATTTTAATTGTTTTTCCCATTCGCATATTGACCCACGCGTTCCACTTGCTGCTCTATATTATGGCGTAATGTTTGTTGTAGAGTGCATTAGGACTATTAGCCCTTACCCTACTTGACCCTCCAATGCATGCCAATATGTGCCTCAAGAAAATCTCCTATGTTTTTTGCATGGCCCTCCAATATCTGCCATGTCATTTCAAGGGTAACTGGACAGGCACTCCAATACATGCCACAGAGAACAATGAGAGTCCTCTGATAACAAAGTGAGTGCCCCCAGCTGGTCAGTATCAGGCACCCTCCAGGGCCTCCAACTCCTGCCATTTCGAGCCTTCACTGTTAAGACTTGTTATCTGCCAAAAAACTGCAGCTGGAGGGCATTGGCATAACCAACTGACATGCAGTAAACTACCCTCAGAGAGTAAGGGTTAGTATACGCACTTGCCCAGTATGGCGCATGTGAGGTTTCAACCAATGAAAGGACCATGGACCAGACTTCCAAATTTAAGGTGACATCGAAAAAGCGTTTCAAACTGGCTGTGCAATGTTTTATCAGCTGTTTCAACATACCCACGTGTCGGGATTTTGACCAATAGGAATGGCTAAACTAGCTGTCTTGGGTATTTATAAATGGACATTCATAAATACCTGACAGTTTACGCATTCCTATTGGTCGAGAGCCTGTCACGTGGCCGGTCTTAAACGGATGATAAAGACATGGCTAGCTGGTCTTAAACACTTTTCCAGTGTCACAATAAAATGTGGACTCCTAAAAATCCAGTGCCTCTTATCGTTTCATTGGTTGAACGTTCACAATCCTCACGTAGGCATGCGCAACACTACCAGGGAGTCAGAATTTTAAAGTTCTAAATTCAAAACGCAACGCGCCAGGTGCGCTCTGCGCGACATCGCGCAGAACATGATACGCGCGCGTCAATCTCCATAAAAGGGTTGTTTACATCTTACTCGCCAGCTGAACACTCCATTATTTTGCAAGAGGGATGTTTCAAAAAGCATAAAGTGAATTTGTTGAACAAAATCGGGATGTTTTGAACGAATTATATGATTTTTTCTTACCGAAAAGGTATTTATGAATGGGAATAAATATGTGCCCCGTCCGTATTTATCACTCTGTTTAAGACCACTTAGAGTCTGGGTGCTGATAATTACCCTTGCCTCCGGCTCGGGTAATTATCAGCACCCAGACTCTAAGTGGTCTTAAACAGAGTGATAAAAACCTCCGAAGCACACATTTATTCCCTTATTAATACCAGTCTGCTCGGATGAATAATTCGTGATTAAACAGATCCTGATGTTTTGAGCAAAATTTAAAAAACAAAATTGAAAGTGAGACTTGGCACGCATTATGTGAGGCGTTCTGGCAAAAATGACACGGAATTTGGCACAGGCCATAGTGAAAAAAAATGCCAAAAACTGAATAGTTATTAAATTTTTCTGATTTTCAGATTTAGTGATATTTGTAAGCTTTGGCGTGTCTACTGCACATGTTTTCAAGAAATAGTATACAAATCGCAGAATAAAAGCATACATGTATAAGGAGAAACAAACTGGCATCTTTCAATTTCACAGCAAAGGCCTTTTTCTCAGTATTTTATGTTTTTGACATGTTGATAAATGCGTACTTTAAACAGCCATAACTTGTCAATGAAATATCCGATTGAAGTGCAACAAACAGTATTGTGAGGAGAATTGTATTCCCATTCCCAATACCCACAAACCCACGACCTTTGCCCAGTTCTGTCTCATTTTGCCAGAACGCCTTACGAATAGTCTGGCACCATCCCATTCAACAGTTAACAATTTATAAAATACATTAAGGGCACATGATCAAAAATGGCTTCCTCCAGAATAAGGTCTATTCGCTCTTTTCACACTCCGCCATTGGGCGTGCAGAGCCTCGATTTTGCAACTTTAAAAATAGCCGGTACAGTGATCTGAACCCCGACACGGGAATCACTGAACCGGCTATATCTATTGTGTAAAGTTGCCAGATCAAGGCTCTGCATGCCCATGGTGGAAGTGTGAAAAGAGTGAATTGTAGGTCTGCATGTAAGGCCAAAAAAAAAAATAAGTCGGTCTCTGGTCAGCGCGCGCGTCGATTTTAATCATGCGCGTCGATCTTTTTTTTTTCCAAAATGTTCCGCGGTAGCTCCAACAGCGCCCTCTATTTCCGCACCTCCTCCATTTGTTTTACCAAAGTAAAGAGCACCAAAGAATGGGAAATTGCACCAAGGCAAATGATCGAAAGCACCAAGGCAAATTATGGAGGACACCAATGTACATGAGGACACCAAAAAAGCAAAATAGTACCCACCTTGTCTGTACAATCCAAGCTTGAAGAAAAAAAAAAATCAAAAAAAAAAAAAAAAAGCCGCATCACCGCGTCAATTCCGGAACTTTGGTCTGACCAGAGACCGAATGTTTTTTTTTTTGGCCTAATGTATAACATTTTTTTTATTGTTGCCTTTTCGCATGGTTGTGAATAAATTTGAAATGTTTCTGTCGCGAGAAGTTGATAAAATGTGATTATCTTGTTTGTTGTTGTTTTTTTTTTAAAGTATTATCACTCGGGTACTTTTTCCACTACTCCCGCTCAAAATCTGCATTGAAAGATGGCCTACCAGTACCACCCCCACTACTTTGAGCGCAAATCCAGTAATATTGAACAATGGAGTAATCTCAATGGTATGCAGCTGAATATCAAGAAAACCAAGGTCATGCACATATCCAGATCCCGGAAACCAGCAGTTCTTCCAAGTTACATTCTTCACGGACAATCGCTCAATGTTACACCTACATTCAAATATCTTGGGGTAATCATCAACGATTCACTGAACTGGAACGATCACGTCGATGCCACTGTCTCAAAGGCCAATAAGACATTAGGCTTTATCTGGCATATTGCGGGTGGTGCTTCGACCAAGGCCTTGACATCCCTCTATCGTTCACATGTTTTGCCCGTACTGGAATACGGGTTGCCAGCTTGGTCCCCATACACAGCATCCAATGCAGCCAAACTTGAGAGAGTGCAGAGAAGGGCAAGTAGAATGTGCCTCAAACAGCCCAAAGGTGCAATGTCATATGAAGACAGATTGCATGCTTTGAATTGGATGACTCTAGATACACGTAGACAGAAGCACATAGTTTCCTTCACAGTTAAAGTCCTGTTTAACTTAGTTGACTGCCAATCAGTGAAGGCCAACACAGTAGTGAACACTCGTCACCAGGATTGTCTCACATTTAGTCACCACTATGCTAGAACTCAAACCCTGAAAAACACACCTAGTCATGTCTTCCCCCGAATCTGGAGTAGTTTGCCATCGCATGTAAGGGACTCTCTATTAATTGATTCATTCACACTGTTTAACACCCGATTATCCGCCCATTATTATGAGTGTTAAAACCTTGAGCTGGAAATAGGCCCCCCCCCCAAGTGTTTAACTCTTTTGATCTACTTTAATCTTTTTAAAGTAATTTCATGTGTATATTTTTCCACTGTAAACTGCCATCATTCTTTTATTTCATTGTTATTTTATTTTATATTATTTTCCTCTTTTGTGGTTAAGTTTGTTTATTTATTCATTTATTTATGTCTGAAATAATGTTGGTTTTCAGGCCTATTTTTCCGGTTGCTTATCATTTATTATTACTTGTATTTATTTTGTTATTGATACTTTTGTTGTTGCTTTTCTTGTTCATTGGATGGATATTTTTTTGACGTAGTTTTTCTCGCATGTCAACTGTATTTTTTACTTTTCTCTATCAGGTTTTTATTGCTTATTATTATTATTTATTTTTATTTCATTGTAAATTATTTTGTTTACTGTATCAATCTTTCGTTCTGTGTTTTTATGTTGTTGTGTGGTTGTCTTGTCTTGTCTTGTTTGTTTGTTTGTTTTTTGTTTTGTTTCGTCTTGTCTTGTTTTGTTTCGTTTTGTCATGTCTTGTCTTGTCTCTTTGTCTTGTCTCGACTTGTTTTGTTACATTTTGTTTAGTCTTATCCTGTCTTGTTTTGTTTCTTAGTTTGTTGGGGTGTTTGTTAGTTTTGTTTTGGCTTGTTTGTCTGTTTTTCCCCAGTCTTGTATAATCTGCAGTTGTTAGGTTTTTATGCCAGCTATTCTTGCCTTGAGAAAACTGTTGTAACTGTAATCTTTTAAATCTATTTATCTTTTTAAGTATTATTTTTAAGGCGGTCTTATTTTTCATTGAATTTTATACCTAATTTTTAATATATTTTGTATGTTACATGTACCATTCAAGTTAGGATTGACAGGCTTTCGAGTCACAGTGTTTTATTATACTTTTGTCAATCCTGGCCAGCTTGGATTGGATTGTTTTTGTTTAGTTTTGTTTACTTTTGTGAATTGCTTGTTGTACCTTGTAATTTGGCCGAATAAATAATAATAATAATAATAATAATATTGAACAGCGCCCTCTATATAAAAATTAACTTTTGCAGCGTGAACAACATTAAAAAAAAGTTTCAAGGCTCAGAAAAAGTGATG